GAAAAGCTTCGTGGAGGCCGCTGCAAAACTTGGTCGCGGTCGAGGATGAAGGCGGCCATATTGGCGGCTCGGCGTCCGGAACTCGTCGGCTTCATTTGACACTCCGATGGAACCCGACGGGACTCGACGGTCACGATAGACACTTCGACGGAACTCGACGGATCCCGACGAAGGGAGGGAGCTCGCCGAAGATGGTGGTCGCTAGCTGTGGGTTGATGGTCGAGCGATGGTTATGGTGGCGGCCTGTTGAAGAGCTTCTCTGTCGCGGTTCGAGGTCGGAAACGGAGGTGCTGCACGGCGTCGCTGCTGCGTGGCAGAGGAGGTCTCGCCGGACAGGTTCTCGCCGGCGATGGTGGCGCAACGCTGATGGCGGCAGCAACTGGTGACGATGATGGTCGTTGATGGTCTGCTGCGAGGGATTATGATCGCTGATGGTCGACGGCCTGCTTGGTGATGATCGAAGGATCTGCTCACAAATGGTGGTGGCTGTGATCGATAGGGACAACGGTTGAAGAAGGAGGACGATGGAGGCTGCGAGTGATGGTTATTCGATGGTGGAGGCGTCCCACTTTTATTAACTGCTAAGGTTCTACTAATTATATGTATATAATTAGGTTTAGCAATTAATCTTGCTCCCCAAGATAAATTCACACGCACACACACGCACAAGAGAGGGAAAGAGAGAAACTGGGTAGGCTCGATCGGTTTGGTTCTCTCGGTTCACACTTAGGATAGATTCTCGGGCTCGATAATAATCGAACGATAATAAAATAAAATAAAACGGGACATTAATATTTACATATATAATACACATAATTTATTTAATTATAATAAAACATTTAGACAATTAATATTAATAATAGTAATATTACTAATAACAACAAATAATAGAAAATTGGCATTTAATAGCATTAATAATAATAATAATAATAATAATAATAATAATAATAATAATAATAATAATAATAATAATAATAATAATAATAATAATAATAATAATAATAAAGACAATTTAATAATAGCAATAATCAATATATATTCTCAAATAAGCCACGATAAAATGGGGTATTACATAAACTCTTTGCTTTGGATGAAGGATCTCCATCTCTTAGACACAACACCCATGGCAGGGAATCATTATCTGCAATTGTTCTTCATGTTACAACTTTTTTTTTCTTTGT